TAGCAAAATCAGATGAACCCCAACTCCCACCAACAGAAACAGCAAACAGACTCAATGATTTCTTCTCCACTATAGGTCAAAACCTTGCCAATAATATCCCAAGCTCAGATACCCCACCAAATGACTACCTCACTGGCAACTACCCGAACACACTGTTCCTAGCTCCGACTAACCCATACGAAGTCTCCCTTATTATCAACGCACTGAAAAACAAGGCAGATTTAAATACCTTAACACCCTTTATATACAAAAAAGCGTCACAAGTACTATCACCAATCATTGCAACACTCTTTAACAAATCCATTGAATCCTCCACCTTCCCTACAGTTCTCAAAATAGCAAGGGTCACCCCGATCCATAAAGGAGGTGACCAGAGTTGAATAACTATAGGCCAATATCCAATTTACACCCTCTCTCAAAAATCTTCGAAAAATTAATTCATAAACGAATCTACTCCTACCTCATCTCCCATAACATTCTCAACCCCTGCCAATTTGGATTCAGGCCTAATATTATTATTATTATAATCAAGGGGGAAGCGCTAAACCCGGAGGATTATACAGCTCAGGCCTAATAAAAATACTAATGATGCTATTATACACATGCTAGAACATATATACACTGCAATAGAGAAAAAAGAAGTCCCCCTGGGGATCTTCATTGACTTACGTAAAGCTTTTGATACAGTTGACCATGACTTGCTCCACGTAAAATTGTCACACTATGGTATTAGAGGGCACTCCCTCAACTACCTCAAGTCTTACCTCAGCAACAGAAGCCAATATGTGTACGCAAATGGGGCAAGCTCTTCCGCACAACCAATTACAGTTGGTGTCCCACAGGGAAGTGTCCTTGGCCCTCTTCTCTTTCTCCTAAACATAAATGACCTACCAAATGCTTCGCAATTACTCAAACCCACACTTTTTGCAGATGACACCACATACGTCTTCTCTCACCCGAGCCAAGTCACGCTAGCCAATACTGTAAACACCGAATTACAGAAAATATCTACCTGGATGAGGACTAACAAACTTACACTAAACATTGACAAAACCTACTTCATTCAGTTTGGTAGCAGAGCTACAGATGTACCTCTTAACATAACGATAAACGGATCACCTATCACAAAGCTAACAGAGGGAAAATTCTTAGGAATCCACCTCGATAATAGACTCAAATTTCATACACATATACAACAAATTTCTAAGAAAATTTCCAAGACTGTAGGCATACTATCGAAGATACGGTACTATGTTCCACAGTCAGCCCTCCTGGCCCTCTATCACTCTCTTATTTAACCCTATCTTACCTATGGAATTTGTGCATGGGGCTCAACAACAATTAACCATCTCAGACCACTAATTACCCAACAAAAGGCTGCAGTTAGAATGATGACAAATTCTCAATACAGGCAGCACACTCCACCAATATTCAAAACACTCAACCTACTCACCATACAAAACATCCATACTTATTATTGCACTTATTACATACATAGAACACTTAACTCTGATATTAACCCTCCCCTCAAACATCTCCTTGCCAACCTCAACAGAACACATGACCATAATACAAGGCACAGATCACTCTTTGATGTTCCTCGTGTCCATCTCACGCTATGCAAAAACTCAATGCACATAAAAGGCCCCAAAATCTGGAATTCATTACCTGTAAATATAAAAGAAACACTACCTGTTTATAAATTCAAGTCTCTTCTCAAAGTTCACTTACTCACTCAAAACCAAATAAATACTGAATAACTGAACCATATAAATTGTATATCCTAAATGTTACTCACAATTATATCACACAAATGTTAAACCTAACTTTGTTATTTTTTTAAAAACAATACCTAACAGAATACTCTATTCTACTGAATGAACAGCAATGCATGCAACCATAGGACCTGTCTTTGTAATACTCATTTGTATTTTATAGTTATCTGTTTACAATAATGTCTTATCACTGATTTCATCATTGCTTAGTTAATCTTAAGTTAATTTTAAGCCAGCCCGTAATGCTATGCATATAAGTGGCTTTGGCATGCTGCTCTTACCTGTATTTTTTTGTACCTCTGTATGTATGCTAAATTTCTAAATTTCTAAATAAATAAATAAATAAAATAAATTATTTTAAGATTAAGATTCGTATTTCTGTGTTTATAGTCTATATTAAGGTTTTATACAATATTTAATGCTCATTAGTGATTATTATTATTATTATCATTATTAATATGGTGTCTTCAAGACTAATAAGACACTCTTAGTGATTTTAATGTGTACCTGCATGCCAGCACCGTGTGTAAGTTTACTTAGATACAGGTATACATACATATAATTATCAGTTATAAGAATAATGTAGGTATGTAGTCTGCCTGGCCTACATACCTATACCTACCTACATGGTATCGACATACCATGTTCACCGAGTTTAATCGTTTTTAACAACTACCTTTAGGTGCCATCATAAATAAAGGGAGAAGCAATGCATAATTGATTCCGAGAATTGTAAACAAAGGTGTTATGTATTAAGGGGAGAGACGTAATGTTTTCCCTCCCCCTGGCTACCACACCTCCATAGTATATAAACATAATACGTTTATATGTTATGTAATGTGTTTGTTATATAATTTTAAAGAAAATATAATAGATTAATGAAAATGCCTATATTAACGTAAAATAAGACATTTCAAGTGCCCAAGAGTGAACGCCAATTTCCTGGTCCCATGTTTTCACAGCCTCTTAACCCCATTCAAAACACTCCCGCTCCTCCATGCCCCGACTCAACCTCTTCCCCCGCACATCCGCAGAGGGAACCCAGTTGGTTTTATTCCATTTTCAAATACATTTTTGACCCAAATCAACACATTAAACACCTATTAGGCACTATAGCTTCGGAAAATTAAAATATTTTCCACAGTGTCTATATTGACGTAAAATTAGACATTTAATGTGTCCAAGAGTGATTATTACATAATAGAGAGAAGTTCTCATGGAGAATGTAAACAAACGGGTGGCCCGCGCCATATTTGAAAGAACACTTGCCATATAGAAAGTTTTGGTCATAATTTGAGATCGTGGTATTAACAGAACACCGTGAGGCGAAACGCCAAAAAGCGGGGCCCTACTGTGTGTGTGTGTATATATATATATTATATATACACACACACACACACACTTACCGATGGAGTTCTATTCCTAAGACCATATCAGTAAACGAATTCATCGCTAATCAAGGAACCAAGCCTTCCTGATACTTACTTCAAAAATGTCACAACCCAAAATTAAAACATTAAGTTTTATGTTTGCTGTGAAAATCCTTTCAATCTATTCATTATTAACAGTATTACAACATGAAATGTGTCATTAACTTCCAAGATATTCTAGGAAGCACACACATAGCTGATTACTTGGGAAAATTTTTTTTAGGAAATCGCACTTTTTTTCAGCCTTTGCATGGAATAAGAGTGATCTATAGTAAATGAAACTGGATTAAATTTCACTACTAGGAGAATATAGGACATAGTTGGCTTCAACATTAGTTAGTTATATATTCATAAGAGACTATTAAACCTACTGGAGTCATACAGTGCCTAGAGTATGTGGGATAAGTTTGATAAGGTGAAGGTACAGTAAATTTGCATTTTAATGGATTTCAGAAATATGAGAACAATATCCTCTGGGTCATTTGATTTTGTTAGGTAAAAAGGACACAGGTGTAACTAATGTGACATATTATTGTGGCAACATTTTACTCTCCAGGAGCTTTGTCAAGCCATTGCGTGTCCATTTACCTATATTTTGTTCATAATTATACCATTACATGTACTATAAACTGATTTTGAAGTACTGTAATGAAGTCTATTGGTTACAGAATTGCCTATTGTTTACCATTATTGGCCACCCGCTTACCTTATTTATTCATTAAATTGAGGGCTTACAGTAGCTTTAGTTCCTTGGAACTAAAGTCCTTCGCCAGCACCAAGTAATCCCCACTGAGGGGTTCCTTGATGAAACATTGTGTCAGCTGGTCTGAGTCAGATATCCAAATTTTTGGAGTTCATTCCATATTGTTGTAAATGTTTTGAGTGTGTGGGTTGGGGAGGGAAGAGTCAAGGGTGTAGAGATCCTATTGTGTCCATAAGTTCTTGATAAATGTAGCTGACAGCCAACAAATTCACTGTTGGATCAGAAGCCCAGAGCCATGAATTAGTCAATATTTTCTGTACACTGTAACCACTAATGGACTTTCTAACACTAATGAGGAATAACACATTAAATTTACCAGTTATAACAACAGTTTAATTAAAAAAATTATGTACAAATTTTTCACTTATATTTTGTTACAGGGTCTTAATTTAAGCATATTTTAACAGAAGCATTTCACAATACAGACATCTCTTCAGCACTGTCACTTGCAGGGATGTGATTTTTCTGCTTTAGGCTAGAAAATACCCCCCCCCCTTTTTTTCTTTTTAAGGACACCCAGATTGTCCCATATGAATCATGCAAATAAAATGAGGGAAGGGTATCATATTTATGGGGAACTGAAGCTATAGGGGCCATCAGAGGCTGGGGAATGAGATTATTATTATTATAATAAAAAAGCGCTAAGCCACAAGGGCTATACAGCTGGGGAATGAGAAATGAGAGGCAATCAGGTCTGGTCCAAGTGGAGGGTAGCCCCAACTAGCTGGATCATAACTTTTACTCTTGAAGGAGAATGGAAGGGGGAGGGGGGGGGGGAGATTTAGAACTTGGAGCACATTTTCTTCATAATTCATACCTGGGTATCCAACAGCACTGGAATTCCTGCAAAAACCGGAACAGTTGCATCCCTGACTTTACTGATAAAACAATGGAAAGGAGAAAATAAAGGCACCCCTAATTATAAAATATTTAACAGAGTAATTACCTTTCTCAAAGAAGACAAAGGCAGTTAAGTAGCTCCTTTTAATAAATCTGAAAGTCGCAATTTCATTTTTCATTAAAAACTTGTAGTGTGATTTTTCTTTATTAATACAGTATATTTGTGATTTGCCATTACAACAGCATTCATAGCAACTGTTATAATTAACTTCATAGGCTTTAATGTAGTCATGAAAATCAACCAGTACTGCAGGAACTGTACCTGGGACCACGGCATTGTGTATAAGCTACCTTTTGGAGTTCCAGCATGTTCAATCTAAAGATTTTGTGACTTGGCAACAGGTGGGAGGCAGAACTTAAAAGTGGGAAAAACTATGAAGTGTGAAAAGCTTGCAAAAACTGTAGCTGGAGTAAGCATATTATTCAGTCATCATTTAGTGGTAACATTCACAATTTTTAGATTGATTGGAGCCTCTGGTACCATAACTCTGATGGATTTGTAGAGAGCACTGTGTTTTTAATGGTGACAGAGACTGACTCGTTTCTAGTGAGATTTAGCACATAACACAAAATTGGCTGGCAATAAGGTTCCTAAAGCAGGTACGGAATTGATTTGGAATATGGTAGAAAGGAAAAAGAAAAAAAAAAGGTGGGACAAAGTAAATGAGGTAAACAGGATGGTCACATAAGGCAAGCAGCAGTCAGTATATAAACTCAGAGGTAGGAATAAGATAGATGGAAATTTGAGGAGCTTGTTGTGGGCTTTCAAATTATTGCATATGTACAGTAATTTGAAATAGTCATTACCACTCTAAAACTAAAGAAGTGATGAATAACAAAAAAGGCACAATACCGTGACTGGAACGATACACAAATAACCCGCACATAAAAGAGAGAAGCTTTACGACGACGTCGTCGTAAAATTTCTCTCTTTTATGTGCGGGTTATTTGTGTAAAGAAGTGATGATGATAAACACTGATTATCTGTATGTATATTCATTTGGAACAGTAAACCTATAAGGGTCATACTGTGCCTAGGGAATGAGAGGGAATAGGTTCAATCCAAGGAAAGGTAAGGCAGCTCAAGTTCCATGGATTACGTGCATCAGAAAGTAAAAAACGAAAATAAGCTATAGAAAAGGCAGTGGAAGCATATTCTTTACAGAGTTTCAAGAGTAGGTATGATGGAGTCTTAAGAGGCAAGGAGCCAGTAAATGCTAGCTAGCTAAGAGCCAGTCTCAATTCTTACAGATACAATGTTACAATTACATAAATTCCAGGTTACTGTAGTTGCATGGCTGGTAACATGCAGGAGATATAACCAAGTAATTCCATGTTTGATCCCTATAGTACTTCTTGTTTTTCAAATTAACTTTCATTCCACTGATGTTTTTGTTTGCAAAATTGAGCTGTTTTTTTTGTCACATTCAAATAAAAATTAGTATTGCACTTGTCTTGCAAATTTAAGCTGTACATTCATCCACTTTGCATCTATAAACATTTGACAATGTTTAATTCTTTAATATAATCAGACATTTCCTCCCAGCTTCTACCCCTTGACCGCACGCACGTACACACACACACACACTGTACATGCTTTTAATAATGAGCACTGCATCTTTATTTCGTTTTTGCTTGTAATGCCTCCATCAATATAAGTTTTCTTAGTATTATACCTTTGATATAATCATATAACAAGGTCCAATTTGAAAAGAACCAATTGCATTTTCATCCTCTTAAAATGTGCTTACAAATTGGATCTTCTTTAAATGAGTCAATTTCAGACTCTTGATGTAAGGCCCACATTTTACTTTCGCTTTCTTATGTTGGAAACTTGAGAATCAGTTACAAGACCCATATATCAAACCTAGGTAATTAAGAACTGTAAAGTAAAACATAAATCTTGGTGCATTAGCTTTTTGCATATTATAGAAATGGTGTTAATTAAATTTTGACCAACAAATTTAAAATATTGTCAATAACCTAAATTTTATTTATTGCACAACTTCCTCCGAGTTGACTTTCCATGCATAATCCTGTGACTGATAAAACAGTATTCAGTAATTGTACTTATTTTACAACAACTGCATGAAATAACTGTAATCTGTATGTCTTAATGTCGTTTCATATTGTACCATCATACATACTCTACTACCTTTTGCATTTTATCAGCAAATAAAAAAAATCACATTGAAGACCTTTTCAGATGTAGTGTCATGACCTACAAAAGAGGAACCATAAGTAGAAAATAATCAAGCCAATTCTGTACTCTTATCAGTTTCAATGATTATTACAATGGACTGAAATTGATTGCTTAATACCTGTCTTGTGCTAAACAACCTGATTACCGGACGGAAAAATGATGGATGACAAAAGTGTCCTAAGGAAGCTGACAGTCCAGCTTTGGAACATGAAATAAAACCAAGTGGAATGCAAATAAACAATATGATACTACAAGTAAAATATGGCTAACAGTATATACAGTTGCTACAAACAATCCACATAGCACATTTGAATATAAACTGATTCCAAGCAGGATATTTGTAATTATTTCCACTTTAATTCTTTTTCTAAACATCTAGTATTTTGTGCATTTTAATTCCTAAGAATGAGGGAGGGAAAAGGTCCTAAATCTAAACTTCTATTACACCACTGAAAATTTGTTTGACAACAGGGATATGCAATAAGTAGAAATGGACACGCATGATTGTACTGTATACATAATACACATTTCATATAATTGATAAGCTGATACCTTAGACTCTCTCAAGATAGCAGTACTGTTTGCGCTCGGAAGTTATATAAACACCTTTATTGAAAGGTTTTGCTCATTATGTACTCAGTTTCTCTACTCATTCTTTCTTATTCACCTTAGTTCTACAGGTTCAGTGCTACTCTCTTATTTTGTATTTTATTTTTTCTAGTTTTCATGCAATTCACATAGCTGTGGCACAGGAATAATACCATCTTGCAGCAAGATATGTAGAGATGATTTTCTTGGAAGAACACTTACTGCAGTAGCTCCTGCAAGGAAAAACAATGACAGTTTTGAATATGATAATAATATTCTGATTGAATTATAGTGTCTTCATTTAAGTATGTGCATGCACACATTTGCCTATATGTGGTTGCAGGGGTTGAATTACAGCTCCTGGCCTTGTGTGTGCATGCACACTCACCTGTATGTGGTTGCAGGGGTTGAATCACAGATCTTGGTCCTGTATGTGAGTTTCTCTCCCTCTCTCTGCATCTCTCTTATCCCTCCTTTCCCTCTCTTCTCTTCTCCCCCCTCTCTCTCTCTTTTCTCTTCTTCCCCCTTTCTATTTTTTTTAAACATGGTTTGACAAGGTTAGGTTAAGGATCCCAAGCTTTATTGACAAGTTAAGGATTCCTAACTTTATTGACAAGCTTAGAGCTGTTACCTACATCAGCTCATTTGAAAGCATTTTCATTGTTATGAAACAAACAAGTAGGGAACAGGATGAAGTTGGAGCCATCTGTGGGCTAGCATTTTCACTTGATCAACTGACTTTATCTCGCTGATATAATGCTGTACGAACACGTTCCAGACTAGAGTCATCCTGGGGATAAATGATCTCATTAAGTGATGTTCTAGAGAAGGGTACAGCCAGAGTGAAGTTGCTGCTCTCTGCCTGTCTTGTGGTATAAAAGCTTGCTTCTCGGAGTGGAGCTTAGTATGATACTTTGATGTTTGCCTTGTACATAACAGTAAGGCCCCCCACATCCCTCCTGTGTTGAAGGCTCTGCTGATATGACAGATCTATCTAGGATGGGTCGAGGTGAGAAATGAGGTGTCTTGCTCTGTTCTCTACTCTGTCAAGCAGTCGCAGATGAGATGATGGGGGAGGTCAACCAAGAAAGTGGAGCATACTTGAGGTGTGAGCATACTTGTGCCTCATACAGAATCTTCCAATCCCTACTGTCGAGCAAATGTGAGACAAGTCGAAGTGCTGTAAGCTTCCTGGCTACCTTGTTTGCAAGATTTACAATGTGGTTATTCATGGTCAGTTTGGAGTTAAATTTCACCCCAAGTATATCAACATCTTTCCCAAGTAAAAACACTCTCCCATTCATTCTTACTACTGCCCTGGCATTACCATCATGGTGCTTAGAGACCATCATTTGTGTTTTTTCAGGTGAAAATGTTACCTGCCATCGGTTTCCCTAGGCTGATATAGCTCTTAGCTGTTGATTGATGTAGCTTAGAGCAGCTGGCATTTATTCTTTTGGATAAGTAAATGTCAGAATATAGTCATCTGCATATGCATGGGATTCTGGGATGAGATGAAGGTCATTGAAGTAGATATTCTATAACAATGGCCCAAGCACAATTCCCTGTGGAACACTTGCCCCAATAGGAAGTCTTGCTGATTCTGTTCCACTGAGAACTACATTTAGAGATCTACCATGAAAGTAAACACTGAGGGGAGAGTGTAGAGCCTGCAATTCCAAGTGCTTGCAGTTTTGCCAAGAGGCCCTGGTGCCACACTCGGTCGAAAGCACCAGCAATGTCCAGTGCTACCACACAGCTGACGTTAGATTCATCCAGTGATTGGTGCCATTTAGTGGGGAGGTTTAACAACAGATCAGCAGCAGAGTAACCTTTCCTGAAGCCATGTTGACGGTCACAAAGTAGTGAGCGGTAGTCAAAAAGCTGGAGTCTCGGTGATTGACAGGAATGACACTGATCTGCAGTTGCTGATTTCTGCTCTGCTTTTCTTTTTGTGAACAGGGACTACATTTGCCTCTTTCCATAGAGAAGGCCATTTACACTGTACTAGGCAGTGCTGAAAGATGCGAGTTAGAGGTGCTGCTAGCTGGTCTGCACATCTACTCGACAATCTTGGGCTCAACTTGTTTGGGCCCACAGCCTTTTCTTGGTTAAGCGATTTAAGAAGAAGCTGCACTTCCTCCTGCCTTATTGTTACCACTGACAGTTTTGACACTGTTCTTGCAGCTAGCCAAGGAGGGTCCCTTGTTAGATCAGGAACCTGCATTTTGGTAGCAAAGTGTTCGGCAAAGAGGTCCACTTTCTCTTGACTACTAGTAGAGGTGGTCCTATCCTGTCGATTTAGAGGTGGAATAAGTTCATCGGGCAGATAACCTTGTCTGTCCTTGACCAGGGACCACCAGGTTTTGGGGCCCACTCCACCTGATGCTAGCTTTCTTTTTGTGTCTACCTCTCAAAAGTGGGCCATCTCTAAAGAGATGGCCTACTTTTGAACTTCACCCATATGCTTTACAGGGTTGCCTGTGCAAGTTCCTGTTATAGGTAGTAAGATGTCTTATACCTTCACCAAGCCTTGTACTTAGCAGTAGCAGCCTCTCTACAATGAAAGCCGAACCAAGGCTGATCTGTAGGCTTTGCCACATACTACCGGTGAGGGATGTGTTCTTGCTGTAGATTAAGGATGTGTCCAGTGAAGGCATTCACTTGGCTGTCACCATCCCCTTGGAGAAGAGCATTCCAATCGGTGGTGGCGAGCTCAGAGCAAAGTGCTGGCCAATTACCTCTTTCCCATAGCCAGGTTGTGCGTGTGGACTCCTCACCTTGCTCTGTTGGGATCTTAAGTGTCGTAAAAACAGCCTTGTGGTCAGATGATCCAACATAGCCGAGGGGTTGACAAGTGACTATACTTTCTGCCAGATCACTCACTACTGTGTCAAGGGAGGAGCCAGAGATGTGAGTAGGGAAATTAACAAAGTTTCTCATATTAAACACTGCAAGACGGTCATCAAAGTCCCTCTGTATAAGATGTTGGTTGAGGTCAACAACAATTATGATATGTTGGCAGTTGTGTTGGAGCAGAAGGGAGTTCACATTTTCCATTAGGAAGTTGATGGGTTCTGCATGTTGTCACTGAGGCCTGTACATTGCAAATACTAATACAGAGGTACTAGTGTTTATGCAGAGCTTGAAGAACATCATTTCAAGATGAGTAGGGATAGCAACATCAATGTGCTGGGCATGAACACTTTTAGAGAAGCACACAGCAACACCTTGCCCTTGCCTGTCTCTTCTCATCCATGATGTTTACCTGGAGTTTACCTGGAGAGAGTTCCGGGGGTCAACGCCCCCGCGGCCCGGTCTGTGACCAGGCCTCCTGGTGGATCAGAGCCTGATCAACCAGGCTGTTGCTGCTGGCTGCACGCAAACCAACATACGAGCCACAGCCCGGCTGATCCGGAACTGACTTTAGGTGCTTGTCCAGTGCCAGCTTGAAGACTGCCAGGGGTCTGTTGGTAATCCCCCTTATGTGTGCTGGGAGGCAGTTGAACAGTCTCGGGCCCCTGACACTTATTGTATGGTCTCTTAACGTGCTAGTGACACCCCTGCTTTTCATTGGGGGGATGGTGCTCGTCTGCCAAGTCGTTTGCTTTCGTAGTGAGTGATTTTCGTGTGCAAGTTCGGTACTAGTCATTCTAGGATTTTCCAGGTGTATATAATCATGTATCTCTCCCTCCTGCGTTCCAGGGAATACAGGTTTAGGAACCTCAAGCGCTCCCAGTAATTGAGGTGTTTTATCTCCGTTATGCGCGCCGTGAAAGTTCTCTGTACATTTTCTAGGTCGGCAATTTCACCTGCCTTGAAAGGTGCTGTTAGTGTGCAGCAATATTCCAGCCTAGATAGAACAAGTGACCTGAAGAGTGTCATCATGGGCTTGGCCTCCCTAGTTTTGAAGGTTCTCATTATCCATCCTGTCATTTTTCTAGCAGATGCGATTGATACAATGTTATGGTCCTTGAAGGTGAGATCCTCCGACATGATCACTCCCAGGTCTTTGATGTTGGTGTTTCGCTCTATTTTGTGGCCAGAATTTGTTTTGTACTCTGATGAAGATTTAATTTCCTCATGTTTACCATATCTGAGTAATTGAAATTTCTCATCGTTGAACTTCATATTGTTTTCTGCAGCCCACTGAAAGAATTGGTTGATGTCCGCCTGGAGCGTTGCAGTGTCTGCAATGGAAGACACTGTCATGCAGATTCGGGTGTCATCTGCAAAGGAAGACACGGTGCTGTGGCTGACATCCTTGTCTATGTCGGATATGAGGATGAGGAACAAGATGGGAGCGAGTACTGTGCCTTGTGGAACAGAGCTTTTCACCGTAGCTGCCTCGGAGTTTACTCTGTTGACGACTACTCTCTGTGTTCTGTTAGTGAGGAAATTATAGATCCATCGATCGACTTTTCCTGTTATTCCTTTAGCACGCATTTTGTGCGCTATTACGCCATGGTCACACTTGTCGAAGGCTTTTGCAAAGTCTGTATATATTACATCTGCATTCTTTTTGTCTTCTAGTGCATTTAGGACCTTGTCGTAGTGATCCAATAGTTGAGACAGACAGGAGCGACCTGTTCTAAACCCATGTTGCCCTGGGTTGTGTAACTGATGGGTTTCTAGATGGGTGGTGATCTTGCTTCTTAGGACCCTTTCAAAGATTTTTATGATATGGGATGTTAGTGCTATTGGTCTGTAGTTCTTTGCTGTTGCTTTACTGCCCCCTTTGTGGAGTGGGGCTATGTCTGTTGTTTTTAGTAACTGTGGGACGACCCCCGTGTCCATGCTCCCTCTCCATAGGATGGAAAAGGCTCGTGATAGGGGCTTCTTGCAGTTCTTGATGAACACAGAGTTCCATGAGTCTAGCCCTGGGGCAGAGTGTATGGGCATGTCATTTATCGCCTGTTCGAAGTCATTTGGCGTCAGGATAACATCGGATAGGCTTGTGTTAATCAAATTTTGTGGCTCTCTCATAAAAAAATTCATTTTGATCTTCGACTCTCAGTCTGGTTAGCGGCTTGCTAAAAACTGAGTCATATTGGGACTTGAGTAGCTCACTCATTTCCTTGCTGTCATCTGTGTAGGACCCATCTTGTTTAAGTAGGGGCCCCATACTGGACGTTGTTCTCGATTTTGATTTGGAATAGGAGAAGAAATACTTTGGGTTTCTTTCGATTTCATTTATGGCTTTTAGTTCTTCCCGCGATTCCTGAACTCCTAA